TTTTTTTTTTTTTTCAAAATTTACTAAAAAATTAATTTTAATTCCCACCAAATCAAACAGAACTAAAATTGAAAAGTAGAATTTGGTCCCACATAATTGATTGCAGTGGTTTCCAACTTTTCTCCAAATTTACATATAATAAAACAGACATGATAGCAAACTTTTGTTTGTCGGCTCAATTTACTCTTTTAAGGTATGTTTGATAGATATTATTGAGAAAATAATGTATTTTAAATACTGATATGATGTGAAGTATATGGTTAAAAAGTAAAAAAAAAAAAGTTATTGATGTGATAAAAAATATAATTTTATTTAAGAATGTGTGATTGGAAATGAATTTTGAAAGAATGTGTGTCAAACATGGGGCTTACGAACATTTTCAATAGGTTTTTTAAAAGTAAAATGCTATCTATTTTAAGGAGTCTTAACACTTAAAATTATGTTTCAAGAAAATCTTCAAATTAAAATTTTGGAGAGTCAAAACCATTTTTTATAATTAAATGCATTTAAAATATTTCAATTTTCAATATTTTCGTACATTGACCCAACTAAATAATATATATACAAAGAAAATGAAGGATAAAATATAATAATTTGGAGGGAATTTGATAAAAATAAAATACAGAAAAAATAATAAATACATATTGAGAGTAATAAAATTAAATATTAAAAATAAAGACTCTCTTGGAAATTTGGAGTATTTGAAAATTTAAATAAAAGATGTTCTTTATTTTAAATGTTAACTCTCAAAATTATGTTCAAATATACTCTTTAAATTAACATTTTAAATGGAGAATATTTTAATTTTCAATGAAAGAAAATAATATAATAATTTATAGGGACCTAGTTAAAAATAATAAATATTTTTGAATTTATCTGTTTGCTTGCTTCTAGAAGGTTAGCATCTATCAGCTTACGGTTCCGTCGGCTCCAATTAGCTTCTTGAGCCATTGATTAGAGTTTTCACACGGACTGACTCAATGAGTAGATCATGAAGTATGACAGATGTCGAAAAATTTGCATCTTTTCTCGGTCCTTTGCAGACTTACAAAACAAAAGTTTATCTACTCTTATATCATGCACATGTTTCACCTCTATTTTTTTCAAAATTCATTATCCTAAAACTCAATAATCATTACTTTAAAATTTGAGCATCATAACATCCAAATCGTTACTATATATTAAAAAAAAAAAATCCCTCCATAATCAACATTTTTTAACTACGAAGCAGGTCACCTCTCATTTCATTACGTCGTGGATTAACACAAATATCACGAGGGAACAAGTCCCCAACTCACATGTCACTGTGGGCTAGGACTAGCGCTACCGAGAGTATGACTGCCTTAACCTTCGTCGCCTCTCTCTTGTATATCAAGAGATATGATATCCCACCTTTCGAGGATGGTTGAGTTGGTGAAGCAGGTGACCGCGGAGACCAAAAGTCACGAGTTTGAATTCCCTATTAACACTTCCTCGGTCAAGCTCGTCGCACTGAACTTGCCAGTGCGGTTTACCTCTCATGTGTGATTTGTGGGCTACTGCACATGAAGTGGAGTTTACCAGTGCACACTCACGGTGGTCATACATTCGCCTCTTCGGGGTGATCGGGGCTCCGCGACGAGTAGTCACTACGGGTTCATACGTCAACAAAAAAAAGAAGATGTGATATCCCTAGTGAGGTATCCAAAAAAAGTGGAACAATTTGTTTATAATAACTAGTAAGATGCACGTGCCATAGTATAGTTGGTTATATGATAGCGTAAATATTAAAAAAAAATTATTTGTCTTAAACATTAATTACGTTAAACTTAAAACACTTGAAATGATGATAGGTGACAAAAATAATATTAAGAGATTTGATTCAAAACATATTTTCTAAACTTTGCGTTTGAAGGCCTCTCTGTTCTTTTTAAAATAAGACATGGCATAGATGATTAAGTGTTGATACCCTGGTAAAGAGATAATGAAGTTCAACATAACCCTCATTTTTCTACCTATTGAGGTAAGATATTATGTCTCCTTCATCTCGTGCTCATAGAATCTCTAATTACATGTATCCGTTGCACCAATGTTTAATTTCATTACCAAAATCATATGCAAGACGTATGTAGTCAGAACTAATTAATTAATTAATTAATTATAATACAGTACTGGTAGACAAACATCGTGCAGTACTAGTAGACAAACATCTTCTATGAAGTGAATTATTTTGGTTTTTTTATATGGATTTAATGTACAGTATCCTTAGAATATGTTGAAAAGATATTCGACGGAAGTTAGGTGATCGTTTGTCAATCTTTTTGCCTCTATGATGGAAGTTTTCGTTTTGTTGTGGTTTTAATACTGTTAGAAATCATTGATTTGTCCTAAATTCTGCNAAGAGATGATGAAGTTCAACATAGCCCTCATTTTTCTACCTATTGAGGTAAGATATTATGTCTTATTCATCCCGTGTTCATAGAATCTCCAAATATTGCACCAATGTTTAATTTATTTACCAAGACCATATACAAGACGTATGTAGTCAAAATTAATTAATTAATTATGATACGTGCAGAATTTAAGACAAATCAAGGGTCACTATCAGTATTAAAACCACAACACAACGAAAACTTCCATCATAGAAGCAAGAAGAATGACAAACGATCACCTAACTTCACCATTCCCTCGAATATCTTTTCAGCATGTTCTACATTAAATTCACTTTTAAAAAAATCAAAATAATCTACTTCATAAAAGATGTTTGTCTACCAGCACTGCACGATATGAATATCGATTTAAAAAATTAAACACTGGTATTTCACGATATTAATATTCATTTGGATCGATTTAAATTTTTTTTAAAAAATCAAAATGTGATAATAATAAATATATTGTCGATTAAGTTTAAATATAAAAATTATCTTAAATTATTAAACGTAAATTCATAATAGTTAATTTTTCTTTTTTACCCAACCCACAACCTCCATACTCACGTCAATTTCTTTTAATTTCATTTTTCTTTAGTTTTTACTGTTAAAAATGGTAAATTTATGGCGTCAAAATGGATATTGAAGGAATTTAATGATTTTCAGAAGA